CACCTTATCATCCCAACTACAAATAATTGCATCGAGGCAAAATTTAAGTGGCTCTCATTTTGAAACTCCTCTGGCACTACCAGGCAATATTACTTCCTATCTTTTTTCATAGTGTATCAAACTCTTATGTTATGTCCTATAAAGTGTCCTAGAGCTAAATGTTCATCTGTGCCAGCATTTCACTCAAGAATAAAATAAGAGGAGTGAGAGAAAAAAAAGTTTGTGCTCTACTTTTCCTAATGATACCTTGTTTTGTAATTATTAAAAGCATCACGGTCCTTAGACAGCTGCTGACACACAGGAAATAAGGTCCTCGAAACTGTTTGTTTCATCATATTTTAAGAATGAATACCGTAGGTCATGTTAATCAGTTTCTGATATATGTAGTTTTCAAAATGCACTTCAGGGAAGAAAATGCTGGAAATGACTAATAGCAGCAAAGATATGAACTTTATTCGTTATATATCTAACTCTGAATGTGAACATTACCAAAGTACTTTGCCATCTTAAGTATTTAGGAAGCCTTAAATAAAAAATAAATCCACCTCATTCAGTGAAATAGAACATCCTCTTTTTCAAGCAAAAGAATTCAAATTTATTAATTTTGTAGCTATATTTTAAAATGAGTGTCAGCCCCTGCTAGATGACTGCATGATAAGTGTCCTGAAACTTCAGGAAAAGGCACTAAATTTTTCACAGCATTTGTGTTTCATTTTCAGTGTAATAAAAATATGGTGCCCTTTTAATAATGAATAATAGATCTCCTGGTATGATTTACATGCGTGGATTAAATGTCATGTTTGAAAAGTTGCTGTTTTATTCATATTGAATTTCCCTCAAGTAAAACAAAATGGTACCCAGCTACTGTTATAATATTGCAAGTACCTTGCCACACTGGTACATAAATATTAACCAGTTGATATACTCTTTAAAAATCTACAGATCTATGAACTGTTCTGTCAGCAACAGTGGTTTTATATGCATATGAACTGATTTAGTGCTATGCCGAGTTCCAGGTACATTGTGGAATAAGAGTAGCAGCAGTGCTCACATATTTCTGGACCTCAGTTTTTTTTTGCTGAAGTGCCAGTTCTGGAGGGCTGGCACAGAATTAAGGACTGATGCTGAACAGGTGCAGCAGGATCCAGGATTAAAAAGTAGCTTGGGAAGCCCCACACTGACACGATTGTCCCTGCTTCTGCTCATCAGGGCTGTACTGACATCCCAGGTGACTTGACAGCTCAACGAAAGTTTTTAAATGTCACTTTCAAGCAATCTCATTGGCTTATAGTGCTTTTCACAATAGCTAAAGATTTCCTATCTGAACTTTCCTTTCTGAACAAAAACTTGCTTCCTAACAGGCAATATTTTTTCTGGAAAAGTGTTCCAGAAATGTTTATAATTTATTGAAGATACTTGAAATAGGAACATTCTCCTTAAAAAGAAGTCGTTCTCTTACTAAGTGAAAATAGTGATGTACAGCAAAATAGTTTGGTCCTGATAACTGAAAACTTTTAAAAGAGAAATACTTTTGCCACACTCCAATTTTCACGCCATTGAAGCCTATGAATATTTTTATTTTGAAAAGTTAAGATTTGTTCTTACTTTTATAATTGCTTCGTACAACTATTTTAATGTTTGCCAAACTAACTTAAGAAAAGCTGACAAAAAAAAAAATCCCACCACTTTTCCTTTAATTTAACAAAATTAAATTTTCACATACCACAACTCATTTGGGCTCTTCAAGTCACCATTAAGCTGAAAAACATGACATGCCCCTGCTAACACTGGGACACGATCCTATGAAGTAATAAGACACTGCTTTAAATACACCACAAACGAAAATGTTTACTGACTACTTGGGTCTTATCTATAGTAGAATCTTAGCTACCATGAGCAGCAATAAGGAAATTATACTAGTAAAATCCTTGGTCTAGTGTAAAGATGATGCTGACTTATCTGTGCAGGTGCTGCCAAGGACAATGTAATTGTGTAACTGCATTACTAGATGCACAGTAAACATACCTCTTTTCCTATCCTCTACTCAACTTGCATTTCAGACCTGAGAAAAATGAGTACATGGAAAGTTTAAGAACAAAGCTTCTTTACCGCCTGGGTCAACCTACTGCATTTTTTGAATCTCAGCTTGAGTTCACATTCAGTTTGTGTTATAATGTAGGTGAAGTTTCAAAATAGCTCTTAATTCATCTAAACTAGACAGCATTAACCCATCCAAATCTAAAGTTCCCTTGCATAAACTAAACATATGACAAAGTCCTTGAAATGCAGTCTAAACCAAGTCCCTTTTAGCTCATGTTTCTGAACATTGCTATTCCTAAAAAAAAACTGCATCAGTTGAAACAGTAATTGCATTTTATTGCAATCGTAAGCATTCATAGGTGTTTTGTCCAGGATAATTCAAGTAAAAGTATGACTCGTATGACTGTTTGGTCCTACTGAAAGCCAAATAAAATTCAAGTTGAGCTACTAGGAGCCTCTGCCTAATAAGCAGTCAGAGGTTATTGTGGGAGGTAGGTTGACAAACTAAAGAGGAAGACAGTGAAGGAGGGGAAAGAATGGAAGCTGGCAAACTGAAGTAAAGAACATTGATTAATGAACAAAAAACATTTTTGAAAGGTCGGGTGTGCAAGTCAGACTAGCCCTGAGGCAGATCTAACTTACATGACCAGCACTTTCTGTACGCAGCAGGTAACCCATGCTGACACCAACTTTGCCGACATGACAGGGTTATTATTTTTGGAAGGATGTAGTGTTCTGGAACAATTCTTCTAATATATTAGTTAAAACTAAGCTTTCCTTCAATATCAAGTGTGCATGTCTCCATTTTCACCATGTTTACACTGAACTTCTACCATTATTCTGGCCAGTGAAAACAAAAGCTGTTTGTGAGTACTTCATTTGTGAGTACTTGTATTTTTTCCCCCTGTAATACATCCCAAGGCAGCAGTGCTGCATCTAAGATTGTGTTCAAACCCAGATGTTCATCTGGAGCTCAGCACTAAGATCTCACGAAGTTTTGTAGATGCTACCCATCTGAAGCTAAAATTTTCCTCATCTCAGTATAGATGGTTTCTTTTGAAATGCTAAGGTTATGGGCCAATACCAAGGTGGAAGAACAGAAAGGTTGAATCATCAAGGGTATAACACCTATGTCTCCAAAATGAGCTGGTGGAGGAGGTTCTCTAAAATGATGACATTAAGATTTTCCTGTCTTTATACCATAGTGAAGACACAGAATCATCAGAAGATCATTTAATCCAGCTTCTCCACATGGTACCAAAGTTTTAGTGGACTTGCCCGAGACCAGTACCCTGGTTCTCTACACTAAAAATGAACTTTTTAATTTAAATATCCTCTGTGAGACTCATTAAGGACTTTAAAGCAAACTCTGGAAAAGTGATAAAAGTATGAAGCATTTCTCTCAGACCTTTGGATGAAGGTTTATAGCCACCTTTAAGCAGTTACTGAGGTGTCTACACAACCCAGTAGAGACCAACAGAAAGACAAGTATGTGGACCTCGTACGTACTCCACAAATCAAGGGCTTACTCCATAAACCCAGGACAGGAGTTCTTTTGCATCTAAGAGCAGCTAGATAAAAGATGGGTCAATCTGAACTAGCTCTTGCTTAGTACTGAGAAGAGAGATAACACAGTTTTCAACAGGGAATGTTCTTGAGGCAGGAGGAAAAGTAGCAGGAGCAAAAGTAGCAGGCAAGACCCAGAAGAAGCAAGATCCTGAAAGCAAGAAGCAGGGCATGCCAGTCATTCAGTTGTAGTGCCTGTAGTCTTCTCCTTTCAGTGGAGCCTAAGATGACAGTAGTTTGTCTTCAAGGCAGTAAGCAGGATGCATGTGTCCTGCTTCTGGAGGAGTCACAGCTCAGTGATTTCTCCAACAGATACATATATTTGTTTTAACATCATGTGACAGTCACATTCAAAGTTTCCCTCTCTCTATAAGTGATTCTTTTCATACCAACAGATGTATTTACATACACAGTTCATTATCGATTTCACATGATAAACAATTAAAAAGCAGAAAACGTGACTTAGCAGCACTTTATAATCACAAACCCAATAGCTGAAATGACCTATCTCCAAATAACTGAAAACATCAATACCATACATTAAAGTTGCCTTATCTGAAAGCTCTTTGGGATAGGGACTGCATGTGCGTTCCGTATCTACACAACACTTCTCACAATAGAAGGGGGGAGGAAGAAATCTGTCCTTCAGGTCATACTACAAAATAAATAATTGAAAATTGAAAAGATTCTCCTCCTCATTCTACCAATGTCTCATAACACACACACACATGCGCGCACACACACACACAAAAATAAAAACCCACACAGAGAGATGGGGGTTGTTTTTCAAACTGTAAAGAAGCTTTCATGTGCCAGAGAGTTTATTTGAGACCAGTGTTTCAACCAGCACTAGGCATTAGCTACAACAGTGAACAACTGACACACAACAATCCTGCCACGCACAGCATGCTTAGGCAGGGAAATATGTGTGCTTCAGTCACAAAAGACAGAATAGAGCCTCAAGTGTTTGGGCTCCTTCCAAAATAATCCAAATGCTGCTTTTTTGGCAAATGGAGGTCAATGGAGCTAAAAACTCACAGAAGGATTTGGGCATTCATGTGTTTATATACACCCACTCGTTCATTTATTATTCTAAAGCTACTTTACAGAAATCAAATTACATAGCTGACAAGCTGCATAGATAAGAGAGAATAAAAGTAAAATTTAAAATTAGCTGACAACAGTATATGATGTAGTGTATATTTGGCACTTTTAGAGTGAGTGATGAGGGTTAACCTAGGGGAAAAAAATTGCACCTTCCTAAATTGCACCTTAAATTATTAAATAAATTATTAACATGATGGAATGCATTAAATATATAAGCCTGAAGGAGAAAGAGCAGATGTGTTTTAACTTTCAAAGCAAAGACAGCATATTTAAGAAGTGTTGCTTACTGTCTGGATACTTTGCTCGAAGTAGATTTCAGTGCTGTAGAAGTTTCCATCGTGACTAACAGGCAGCGTTGTCCTGGCCTGAGGCTGCTCCTTCATTTTGGGCCACTCCAGCAAGCCACCACCTAAGCGGCTGAGAACAGAAACTTTGAGGGTATAGTGGCCTCTAGGGACCTTATCTTTGACTCCCCTCAGGCATTTGACGTGAATTTCTATCAGCTGTGGTGTCTTGGAGCAGTCAACCTAGAGAGAGGGCTCTGAGTTACTGATCTGGGTAGAGCTAACTTAACCAAACAATTAGCATGGACAAATTTCTTCAAGAAAATAACTACTGAAAAGCAGACAACATACTTCTTGTTCAACCTGCAATTACCTATTGTTAACCCAGGATCTGCAATTAGGGAGGTCAAAAGTCACAGACACGACAGATAAAAAAAATTACAAATACTACTAATAAAATGCTCGGCATTTTTGGAGGGAAGGCAGAGCTGTTGAAGTATGACACCAAAAGCCATTAGTCTGCAACAATAAGGCAGAATTAACTGGAAAACAATACCTTCAAGAGTATGGCATGCTTTGTAAGACAGGCACAATGCACGATGTGGTGAGCAGGCTGCAGGCCCAGAAAGACAGGGCAGGCCATGTTTTTATACTAATTATTAGTCTTGCCAAAGCTATTAGTCCTGTGTAATATGCATACTATCCTTTCACCTTCCGATTATCATATAATCAGATTCTCTTAAAAATAGTAATCAAAGTGCAACACGTGTAGAGTTTAATAACAACTCCCTACAGGCACCTTTATTCCAAGTCCAGACAAAAGGAAACATCTGCTGCTTGCTGTTGACAAGATGTTGTCTGAGTTACAGAATGTTTATTATGGAATAAATGCTGTGCTGTGTATCAGAATTGCCTTTCTGGTGCTTTCCTTTGAATGCACAGCTTATAGCACAGTGGTTGGCAGAGGGGAACAGACACAGCAGTATGATCCTTACAAGTCCTGGCTGAGTAAAGGTGTAGGGACTGTCCCACTACACCAGCAGATACTTCAGTGCTGCCCAAATGCAATCTGCAGGGTCAGGCACTGAACAGGGAGTCCCAGATTGGCCCCAGTATTGAATTCAATGGATAAAATTCCTTTACAATAACTAATTATTTAGTTATCAACATTTTGTTTTTCCTAAGGAATCTATTTCTTCCATTATTTTGAGAAAACAGTCTAGGTGGTCTTTTAATGTAATGTGATACAAAAACCCATGCCACACTTCAGAATCAAATGGCTACCTTGACTACTAGGTTTAGTAGTCTCACAGTTTAAGCCTACAGTAGCTAATAATCTCTTCTCTAATCCTGTCTTGGATTTATTTTGGAAGAGATAGCATATTTCCATATAGATAGAAAGCTTCTGGAATTAAATTAAGCAGTTACATAAACAGTTGAATTTGTTAAACTTCTTTTGTTTCTCAATACAAACCATACTTAACAACTAATCTGAATGACAATTATTTTCAGCTTAATTAGAAAATCTTAATTAACAATGAAGATTTAACCTTAATATTTTTGGTTTCTGAATCATATATAAAAAAATTAACATTATGTGAATAAATAAGACAATCTTTTTAAACCTCAAGGCAGGATTACTGATGCAGGCAGACTTCGTTATTAAACACATTCTAAATTAAACGCCTCTATGAATTTTATACTGAAATATATTGTGATAGTTTTGCATGCCAAATGTGACATTTTGTATTTTAGATTCATCTTCTGTAGTAATTTTGGAAATGTCATACAAACAAAGATTTTGTCATTTACCAATGGAATTACTATGCATGGCCGGTTAGCCATCTCTTTTCTGGCTCTTCTGGTTGTTTCAAGTCAGCAAGCCATAAAAAATCTTTATCTCTCTGAAACACAGCAATTTGGAAGATAATCGAATAGTGACTGGGGGGCAGAAACGCCAGTCTGAGGAATTATACCACAATCTCTCTTGCATTTACAACCTTCCTCAAAGCGAGTGCCAGTTGAGTAGGAAAAGGAGATAGAAGATTCATCATATTTCAAGCCTGTCTCATTTGCATGGTGGCATAACTGTCTCATCTCCTGCTGAAAGACTTTGCTTGGCCAGCACTGACAAACTGTTTTGAAGAACTCTAGCCATGCCCAAATGATTCATCATTAATAGCTTTAGACATTCTCCTTAAGCATATGGTTACTTCTGCTGGGAAGCATATTTGGAAACCTCCTAAATTCTACCCTCTTAGACTATAAAAAGAGAATTAAAAAAACAACACAATGCAATTGATCTAGTCATTTAGGAATCTGCAACAGGAAAAAGAGCACTCTATGATTCCATGGAGAACACCTCACCTTCTTGCAAGGTCCTGTTGCTACATTTAATCCAGCATTCAGAACTGCAAGGTTACCAAAGCTGGCTGCCATTTCTTCTTCACTTTCATTCCCCTCTGCTTTCAACAGCTGACTTCCCACTCTGCAGCAGTTAGGGAAGAGGGAAGAACTATTCAAAAGAAAGAAACTACAACTGCAGACCCAGAAAGCACTTGCTGTTGCTAATATATCACAGTTTGATGTTTTCTTTGAACATTATCATAAGCCTTGCAGGGCACCCAGGAGAACCAACGGTGTACTAAAGCAGAGAAATGGCTAGGCTTCAAAAAGTGGTGCACGAAAAATGCAGTCACAGCCCCAGTAATAAAACGGTATTTGTCAGTCTATGCCACAGGTCAATACGAGGTACCTAAAGTTTCTCAGCTCTGTCTGGCACTGGGGCTCAGGTTCTAGGTGAAGAATACTAAAGTAGGAAGCCATTGCTTCTGTTGACCCTTTGAGGACTAATTGACGTCTTCAATTAATTAGAAGAGGTTTTTAGAAACCATTGGTTCCTTGAGAACTGGGTTGCTTTAAACTACTGAAAAAAAACCTTATATATATACACACATATAAAAATCTTCCCTTTTATGAAGGGGAAAGTCTTCTTTTATCATTTATAAATCTTCCAAAAATCTTAAAAAAACTATGTAAGTTATATAAGTTGATATATAGGTATACTTACACATTTTCTGCTGTATGTGAACTATTAAACTGTTATATGTTAACTTCTTGTTTAGTTAAAATAATTTTAGGGGGTAATTAGATCAACTCAAAGATTATTTTTTATTTTTTTTTAAGACAGGTCCCTGTGGCAACACAGAACACCAGCAAATAGTATAAGAACAGCCCAGGACAATTGGATAACCCAAAGCTGCCCTATATAGCACACAGGATACAGAGAAGGCGAAGTATGGAGAAAAACTTGTCCTAGATCACAGCAGGAGCAAATGCAAAACTAAGTCACTTACAATAAGCAGTATAAAGCTATAGGCTTTGGCAACCCCATCCCATCTTCAACAGACATAGAACTGTGAGCAATTTCTCTGTCTCAGCTCAGCACCAGTATCTAAATAGAAACTGCCCTAGGTAAAAACATCTGCAGATGCTCTGCTGACCTCAAAACACTTCAGCCTCCACAACCTGCTTTAAAAGGCTAGTGAGGGTATGTTTGCCACACCGACGCTGGCAATGCTCCAGCCACTCTCACAGGTGGAGACAAAGGGCAGGTAGCAGAGCACAGACACAGCAGCTCTTAAGAACTGGAGGCTGAGCAAGCCATTCGCAGCCACAGGATAGCCATGGGCCACCCTGGACATTCAGGGAGCTGCCTGCAGCATACTGATAGGAACTATAGGAACCCAAAGGGAAATCACTGCATCAGGTACACTTACCATTCAAGATTAACTTGGGCATCTACAGAGACAATTAGAGGACAGGCTCTCTTAGGTTGCCAAGCCACATATTCAGTTAAGATTTTAGCCACAAAAGAAAATGTTAAAATCTGGTATTCAAAAAAAAAAAAACAACACAAAAAAAAAAACAGACAAAAAAAAAAAAAAAACAACCCCCAAAAAACAACATCATTTTCCTGGACTGCACTTCTGAGGCATTCCTTCAGTATTTTATTTTTTCCTTCAGTATTTGCTTTTGGAAAATTCTGCTCCAGTGTCTCCATTCCTGTTTCCTCCTTTGCATGCTAGGTGATGAGAAGCCTCCACAAAATTAGCATGGTTCTTTATCAAGAAAATTACAGAAAGTGCAATCATGCTAAACATCCCAGGCTCACGCATGTGTGCTAGCTGGGTAACACATAGCTCAAATTCCCATCTTCTGAAATAGATGCTCCAGTCTCCAAGTTCCTGACACATTGCTACAAATCAGTTTCTACTCAGACCTTGCTTATGATTTTTTTTTTAGTTGTTTTTGTTTGTTTGTTTGTTTTGATTTTTAGAAACATATATATGCACAGTGAAACCACCACTGGTGCATAACTAAACTGTTTTCCTGATTCCTCTGCCATTAGAATTGTATCATGTAAATGCCAGGCAATAGGTGAACCAGTCAGAAGGTCAGTATAAATGTTAGAGCCAATGACATACATGGAAGTTTTGCACAAGGCAGGACCTATGAGAACTGAGGACAAGATTCCAGTGCTTAGGACTGAATACAAGAAGCACAGGGTCAGCCACCTTTGAAGTTATACCCTTGAGCTACAGTCAAGCAATTAGGTTCCAGCTGTCCTAAATGGAAGTAATGGAAGATAGTTGTTGAATGGCACTATCTAATTCATAGACCTGAAACATCTGAGAAGTTAACTTCTTTCCTTAAGAAGAATGGTCTGTTTGGAAAGTTTGTACTTATTTAGTTTCTCATGATGGAAATTATTTCACTTAATTTGTTTAGAGCTGCACTGACATAGGGGTTCATTAGGACACCCATTTGCTTGCAATTCAATTTAAAATTAAATACACTTTGTTGTTGATTTTATTACTTTTAAACTACTGTATCTATTCCCTTTATTAGCTGCTAATACACAATTATGAAGGTAAACAGTTTTCATTACTGAACATCAAACATTTAAATAACCGCATTCGATCTCTTTTCAGGTTGCACCATTTTTCTCCTTTCCCTCCTTTTGCTGGGTATTAGATTGAAAAGGATAATTTATTCAGTGAAGTTAAGCCTCTTCTGGGCTCACCAACATCTTCAGATCATAGCAGACCATAGCTTCCTTTGCTGTATCCACAATGGTTATTTCCTCCATTCATTTCTTTACAGGTAATTTGACGCCTGTACTTATCTGAAGGTCACATATAGCTTAATCACAAAAACACTGCTCCAATTCATATTTCCTTCACTCTCTAAGGGTAATTCAGAAGCAAGGATGAATGGTGCTGGGAGAAGCCATTTCATTACCTTTTGAAGTGTGCTATCTGTAGCACTTAAAAATTACAGTCCAAGCCAGAAAAATGGAGGTATCCAAAACAGAGGTTTCTTTCAGAAGCACAGGCTTAATTTTTCTAGGCCTGAGGTTCTTTGTTTGGGAGGAGTTCCATTCATTAATATCTGTAAAGCACTAAAAGATCTTTGGAAGGGAAACACATTAGATAGAAGTACAAAGTAGCCCTTATCTGACATACCTTTGACAGAGTTCATGAATCCTGGCTCTCAACTTTTGTTTCTCCTGGTGAGAGACCTCCTTGTGGTGCTTTGAGACCAATATGCCAAAAAGAAAAAAAAAAAAAGGAAAAAAGAAAAAACATTAGTTTGTTTCCAAATGTACAGAAAGAAAGAACATGGAAATAAAAGCCATAAATGTGCAGTTTTCCAAAGCTCTTTGTCTTAGGTCTTCCACTTGAAGGTTTTTCAGAAGCAATTAGGAATTTTCAGCCACAGTTATTTATTCCATTATTTTCTCATGTTTACTCCATTATTTCCACTGGAAATCTTATTCTAAAAGCTTGGTCAGTAAAAACTGTATTTGTGCATGGTATTGCCCTACAGTCCTTATTTTTACCATACCTAATACAGTCATATACATGCAAACCTATGTATATGCACCAGCGTGTTTGTACACACACACCAAAACGTAACACACAAAACACTTAAGGATGGATCACCAGAGAGCCCACAACTGTCTCCACTTTAAATCTTCTCCAAACCTTGATGCCTAATCCCACCACAACTGTTTTTAGATGATTGGTAAAAGGAACTGGCATTTTTGGAGGTTGCAAGGTGTGGGAAGCTAGCTCACATGAGCAGCCCTCTCCCCCTGCAGTTCTGCAGCTCTCAAGCATGAAGCTGAAGGGCCTGAAAGTTGTTTTACTCTTGCATAGCAAGCTGAAAAAGTCACTCCATTGAGAAGCCAGCCATCTCTTAGACTGCGTTCTCTGTGCAAAACCTGGAAACGATAATTATTCTGAAGGCTGTAGACTCAGGAAAGCAAATTCTTTTCTCTGACCTGCACCATTAAGAGACCCCACTGAATAGTCAAGGGCATTTCTTGTACCAGTATCTTCTACTGGTGTCCCTGAAATGGACATAAAACGTGCATACACCACTACCCAGACACAAGAAGCTGCCCTACTGTATATGCTATACTGTCATATGAGTAGTGTAAATTTTTGTTCCACTTGCACTCTCATCAAGCCTCAAAGCCAAAAAAAAAAAAAAATGTGGTAAGGAAACAATGCAATAGTCAATGGAGAAAATTTCCCCATTGGAGGTTCCATATCTAGTTGTTGAAGTCTGTCCTTTCTTCTAAATCCTACTACAAGCAAGCTTAGGAATCACTGCTGAAGACTAAAGCAAAGCATCCTGCTTATTTCCAAAATGAAAATTGTCAGAGTACAAAAAAAGACTACAGAAACAAATTGCAAAACCCTCTATAAACAACTTTTAGCATAACTTTCTTAAACCTGTAAAATTAAAGCAGATACAACATGGTCTCCTCAAAACACACGGATTTGTTAGTAGTCCCAGCAGAAAGCCTCAGATGGATGCAGTAAATCCTTCAAGCCCTAGTCAAGCATCACATATACACAACTATGAAGTCGACATGACCAACCTTCCTTCCAGCTGTCCACATGGCAGTTTTGTCATGGGCAACTCTCCCTTCACCACCTCTCCTCTATTAGTGGGAACCAAGCCCTCCTGCTCCTGAACAGCTTTTGGCTTACGTTCACCGGGAGTCCCTGGGGCAGGACCAGGACCCATTTCTCTCCCACCTCCACAAACGCTGTCACTAATTTTTCTTTCCCCAACCCAATGAATCACCACAGACAACGCTTTGCCAGGAAGGGCTGGGAGCTGGCTCCGGTCCTGGCTCTGCTCCAGCAGAGCTGGTAGATGTCTGGTTAGAGGAATCAGATCCACCCTTCCTGCCACTTTCCACAGCCCATTGAGGACTGCTGCCACTGGGGAATATGCCAAGAGCAAGGGCAGGTTGTTCTCCAGCTGCCCCGCAGGGGTGCTCTCTGAGGCGTAAGGGACCCCTTCCCAGTGGCAGCAAGGACTGCATTCACTCCTGCAAAGCACAGGCACGAGGCTGTCATGGCTGGGGCATTTGAAAGGGTGCCCAGCAGCAGAGCTCAAAGTCTCTGAGAAGGTTTAATGACAAAACTACTGATCAAAAAGACATCAGGTGTTTCCAGAGCTTGATGGCAGATGTGACAAGGTTTAAAAAGTTTTGGAATAGGCAGCTAAGGCTAAAGTTTAGAAAGTAGGAAGAGGGCTCCTGGATCCTGGTAATGCCTGGGATAGTGATTTTTGAGGGAGGCACTAGATTAAGTAACAAGATGAAATAGAAAACTCACTTAATGTAAAATATCAAGTAGCCATAACGTTACAACAGTCAGATGTTACCAGTGCAGGCTTACAGCTTACACTGAGCCAGAAGTAGAGAACTGGGATTATTTTTTTTTTAAATGATTATATTACCAGACTCCCATAGCTGCCCAATCCCCTTGTTTATCTTCCTAATCTTAATTAAATAATGAATATTCAACAGAAAATATGAATCAGGGTTCTCTGTATGAACTGCACTGTTTTCAATCTCTCTGCCTCTGAAGTGGCAATGGGAATATGATTTAAAACTATTTCTTCTGGATCCTAGTAAAATATTTGTCACAGCGTGTCATGAAAATTTTCAAAAAGCTCTATCATCTACCTAATAAATTTGTTAAGTTTATTCAAATCTTATTGAACAGGAAAAGTGCAATGAGTCATGGTTAATATTCCTTTACCTACACCAAGAAATAAAATATATCAAAAATTCAATGCTTAGGGTCCTATTCAGAAAACCTCTATGAGTCTGTAATACATCTTCTACATGATTAAAAAAAAAAAAAAACACACCAGGAAACTTGCTTTAAAATGAATTATTCACCACCTTGAATAAATTTCCATCTTTCCTATTTGCAAAACCCCAAAGTCAGTTATGTAAATTTTAACCTACACTAATTACCTCGGGGGTGTGCAAGAAAAAGGAGAGCAGATGCAATAGAAAAAAATCCCAGACGTTTCCATCACCAGGAAGCAATTTAACAGAGGAAAAATGTGTAAGTTTTCAAAAACAGAACAGCCCATATAATTATTTCTTTTAATGTGGAATAATCATTGCTGCAATATCCCTCGAATCAGAGGTTTACTAGAATAAACCCAAATGCTTTTTCTCAATGACATACCATCACACACATAGCGAAGCCCTTGTTTCTCATCATGACACCAACATTGTCTAGACTGTAAAAACAACCCATTGTTGACAACGGGCGTTCCCAACAAGAAAGCATGAAGTGTGGTTTAGCTTCAAGTCGATATAGGGCATTCGTTCCCTTTCACGAAATAAAAAAAAAAAAAAAAAAAAAAAAAGAAAAAAAAAGAGTTACTAAAGTCTGTGAACCACAAGATATCCTTCAAAGCCTGGGATGTACTGGAGAAAACAGGGTATTGTTTGAAGGCAGAAAGGCTCAATCAGGGCACCACTTGGTCCTGCTACCAGGCCCTTCTTTAGCTGTGAGCCATCTCTTTCACACATTTTTCTCAGTTTCTTCATCGGCTGGCTTGAGGTCTAATTGCACAAATGGCCCATCTACTGATTTCAGAGAGCGTGATCAAGACCAGTATTTGAAAAAGGTCTTTCAGTCTGGGCCCAGCCTAGAGACACACAATGGTAAGTATTGTTTCTACTTCAGACGAAAACAAAACCTGACTCAGTACTATTAATCAGTGCTGACTGGCTATTTTCACTGTGAAACTACTTCACAAATGGTAGGACTTGATTCCTATAGTAATTTTCAATTCGGTTCAGGAAAGAAAATTAAACAAAACCCAACCTAAACACTCCTTCCTGTTAGGAGAAAGCTCACAAAATCCAGCAAAGCTTTGAAGCAAAACCGTTGCCATTTTGCAGAAAATGGAGCATTTAGGGACAATATTCTCCCTCACCTTTCTGGTGAGTCCTAGCACTGGTATTACAACCTTCTCGTGAGGGACTCAAGCCCATTGCTATTTGAAACAGTCAGTTGAGCCCCAGCCCTATGAAATCCTACTCCCATACAGTGAGGAGTGCTGCGGGGGTCCACTTCCACAAGCCCTCCTCACCAGGGTGGAGAGTAGCAGACCACCGGTGTGGTCTCCAGCAGCCTCCCACCACCCATAAGTATCCCACATGAAGAGGATCCCAGTGTTCCCCCATGCAGAGGATCCCAGTGTTCCCCCTTCATTCCACTCCGCATTGGTACATCACAGCACAGCTAGTGCTGTCTTTCCAGATGTAAAGGAATACCAAGATAAAAGCTTTTACCCAGTATTTCTATTTCTGCATCCCCAAACATTTTGCAGCAATGGAAATCCTGTCCACTCCAATTTTAGAGGTGGAAGAAGTGGAATGCCAGTGAGAGTGACTTGCCTGAGCCTCCCAAGCAAAGTGTCAGCAGGACTAGAAACAAAACCTATGTCTCTAGTCCCACTTGTGCCAACTAGTCCTCCTCCTTCATAGACTGGCTGCTGTGTGGAGATCCACTCCCAGATTTTCAACATCTAGCACACTGTGTATCATAAAACAAACGAAAAACAAAGAACCATTTGAGATGAAAAAAAAAAAAAATACAAAAAATGTTAACATTCCTCTCAGGCAAAGTGAGGTTTTGAGAGGCTTATCCTTTCCATGTTAACTACAGAGAGAACACAAGTAAGTGAGGTACTGAGAGGTAAGCGGCATAAGTACCCTTTGTTGAAAGCAAAGACTCTGCTAGCTAGATAAGGTCTGTTCTGGGAATTGCATTGCCCGTTGGAATTTGGGTGACCTTGTCTCAGAGATTGCCACAAACCAGGAGGTAAAGTTGTGTCAAAATCCTGGACATACGTCAGTATAGTTCACAGCGCACTCTGCCAAAAATGTGCCACAAACTCTCAGACATGTTTCTAAAAGGGAAAAAGAAAAAACAACAAAGCAATCTTTCCTTCCAAATAGAAAATTAAACCAATTTACTGTTCATGAGCACAAAATTTAAAGCTTAGACAAGTGAGCCACTTGTAACGGCTAGGAAGAAAAAAAAAAAAAAACAAAACACCTCATACTCTGTTTTAAAACTGATACTGCAGAACACAAAGCGAGATTTACTTTAGTCATGATACAGCCTTATTACACTAGTACAGACACATTTAGTGACAATTATAGGCTGATCATTTTGATACATGTGGAAAGCACCACACAATCTCTAACAACGAAGACTGAGCTACCAGTCAACACAA